AGAACATGTAGAGAATTTGCTGCTCGATATCCAGAAACCAAAGACGACTAATGCCTTTATATTATACTTATGACTATTATTGTTGGAATTATTATTTACTACTCTTAAACCCATTATATGGGTTTACGTTAGTTTAGTATTAGGATTAAGGAGTTATGACTGAAAATGTAGCAAAGGAACCTACAAGCTTTTAAGATTGTCCACTAATTGTCTTCATGTATTTCGTGAAGGTCTCCGTTTTTTCGGGATATCGAGCAGCAAATTCTTTACATGTTCTTGAAATTACTTTGTCACATTTTCCATAAATAACAGACAAATTAAAATAATCCTCATTAGTATAATAATTTAAACGATCCCCAGGCGTTTTTATTTAAATTTTCGGCAAAAACTATTACAGACCCAACAATNATACATTCTTTTATGCACGTACTTTTACTGTTAAAGCATTTTGAAGATTTCTAAATCATTTAAAGGGATTTGGGTTATGGAATGAGATACCAGTCCGATAAAATTGGAATAATTTGCAGTATTTGATGACTGATAATATGTCGTAGACATACTTAACCTATTCTTTTCCGTTTTGAAGTTATCGATGAAAAATTGAAAATTTTAATTTTCCATTTTATGTTTTTAACGTTCTTAATTAAATACTGAAAAAAGTGGACACTTTGACCTTACCTACTACATTATTGAGATTTTTTATGAATATTGAATATGGAATCATAGTTAGTTGTGTCACCTATCAGACCAAGAAACAACATTCAATTTTTAATTTTATTATGGACACATTATTGTATTTTAGCTTTTTTCTAATTACGATGATTATAGTTTACTTTGAAAAAATGCAATTATACATTTTTACCAACAGAGTTATGAAAACAAAACATGCTCTTATACCTCAAATGAAATTTTTATAGTTGGTAAAAATATTCTAATAATGCTTTTATTTAAAAAAATAAAAATAGTAATTGATGTTTTCAGATTTTCATCTACAGGGAATCGCCACTATCGACATCTCAGACAGTACTGATCCGATAAATAATATGAAAATTTGGCAACCTAGCAAAGGTAATAGGTCCAACACAGCTAAAATATTTATAACTTTATACAGGGAGTCGAGATTAACTTGTTATTTTAAATGGGACACCCTGTATATTATTGCATTTTCGGATACTACGTGAAATTTGAGTGTCACTTTATTAAATATTCCCTCTACCTAGAAGTTATAGATTTTGAGAGATTAATTTTTGAAGAAAAAAATTGACAGATGCAAGGGTCCGCGGAGATGTTAGTAACTCTTTTCAGGAGCGTGATATCAAGTGGGTTTTTGGTATCTGTAAAGGGCATAGGTAACACTAAACCATGGTATACCAACAAATTAAATCATTTAATACTATGTGGTTCATTTTGCTGTTACATTTTGATAACTTTAAACAGCTACATCTTTGTTAACTTAAATGGAACACCCTGTCTTTTTTTTACTCCGTTGTATGCAATTGAATTTTCCTTTCAAGCCACATACGCATGGTTAGGGTTGCCGTTACTGCTTTTATAGATATTTGCAATTTTCATTTTTTGGGCAGTTTTTCTCGTATCAGACCTGTTATCAAATTGGCCATGACCAGAAACACTCCAAAAACAATTAAAATAATTTGACATCAAATTATTGTTGTGTCCGTTTTTGACGAAATTTAAATAAAAATGCCTCTTAAATTATACTAATGAGGATTATTTTAATTTGTTTGTTATTTATGGACAATGTGACAAAGTAATTTCAAGAACATGTAGAGAATTTGCTGCTCGATATCCAGAAAGCAAAGACGACTAATGCCTTTATATTATACCTATGACTATTATTGTTGGAATTATTATTTACTACTCTTAAATCCATTTGGGTTTATGTTAATTTAGCATTGGTAAGGAGTTATGACTGAAAATGTAGCAAATGAATCTCTTATAGCTGTTTCCGTATTTTCATCATAAACAATAGGTATTTTTTAATTCTGTATAAGTTTTACATAGCGTAAAGTGTAAGATTGCCCACAAATAGTTTTCATGTACTTCGTGAAGGTCTTCGTTTTCTGGATATCGAGCAGCAAATTCTCTACATGTTCTTGAAATTACTTTGTCACGTTTTCCATAAATAGCAAACAAATTAAAATAATCCTCATTGGTATCTATTATTTAAACGATCTTCAGGCATTTTTATTTAAATTTTCGGCAAAAATTATTGCAAACACAACAATAATTTCACAACTAACTTGACAAATGCTAAGTTATTTTAATTGTTTTTGAAGTGTTTCTGGTCATGGCNAGTAAAAAAATACAGGGTGTTCCATTTAAGTTAACAAAGTTATAGCTGTTTGAAGTTATGAAAATGTAACAACAAAATGAACCACATAGTATTAAATGTTTTAATTTGTTGGTATACCATAATTTAGTGTTACCCTTTACAGGTAAGTACCAAAAATCCAGTTGATATTACGCTCCTGAAAAGAGTTACTAGCATCTGTCAAATTTTTTCTTTAAAAATTAATATCTCGAAACATATACTTAACTCCATATTTAATAAAGTGAAGCTCAAATTTCACGTAGAATCCGAAAATGCAATAATATATAAGGTGTCCCATTTAAAATAAGAAAGTTAGTGTCGACGTCCGGTATAACCGGAAGTGCCATAAAGTTCTAAATATTTTAGCTGTGTTGGCCCTACTGCCTTTGCTAGGTTGCCAAATTTTCAGATTTATGGGATCAGTGCTCTCCGAGATATCGATAGTGACGATTCCTGGTGGGACACCCTGTATAACTTCACAGCGGAGAAAGATAAGTAAATTTCTTTTCGGTGTGTGATCGGTTATCAGATTCTTCAACCTGACCAAACTTAAGTCACCTCACATCTCTTGAGCAACCGAAATCTCCACCCTTCGAGCATCCGTTAAGGATACCAGTGTTTTTTAGTAAAACAGTGTTCGAGTTTTAGATTTCGCTACGATTCTTATTAAAGTTGGATATTAAAATCAAAACTGATATAATTAAAATACATTCGAAACCAAATAAGATAACCTAACAGGTACTCATTAAGTTATATCTTAATTGTCACTACTATTTAATGTAGGTACAAAGTAATTGGTTGAAGGAAATACTTACTTTGAAACTTTGAGCAGAGAGTTTGACACTGTTCCAAGGTATTAAAGTTGTTCATATTTCCCTCACAACCGCTGTAACTAAATATTTCACAGTGGCCCCTTATTGTATCGAAATACCACCTGTCGACGTTACTTTTACAAGCACCAACATCTTTAGGGAGTCCACAAGCCATTTCTGGAAAGCAAACAAAATTACGACGGTCTGCCTACTAAATATATATTAAAGAAACACAGTTCATTGGTATTTATTTTGGATGAATGAAAGTTATGAAAGTGAATTATGTTAAGCGATGCATATATTAGTTTCAAATATTTTATTCATATCAATTTTGTCACATCAAGATTTTTTAGATATTTTGCACTTCCACAAAAATTTTAAAAAATTAGTCAATGGCATTATCAAATCAATAATTGCTATAAGGAAGGCATAAGTCATGAATTATCCTGAAATGAGTTATAGCTGACATGAAATTTTACATATTTCAATGCTTGTTTTATACATATACAAAGTTATGTAAATTAACAGTAACTTTTGTATGCAGCCAACAAATCAGTTGATATGAAAAGGTCACATATCACCGACTATTGATCTTTTCAACTACTAATTATTTTAATATACGTATGTACATTCCTAAATTTAGTGAATTAAATTAAAAAATAATTAAACTTGAATTCAACTACATCTGTTCTAGCAGTTAGATGTGCGAAGTGTAAAAGAATAGAACAGAAGAATTTAAACAAACGAAATGTTTTTTCTACAGCTTCCCTAAGAAAACGAATTTCAAATTGTATGAAAATATCAATTTTGCACCCAATGTATTAAAAGTTCTGTTTAAGTCTTTAATTTTAGAGAGTAAAAAGTTTCCTCTACTCCTTTGGGACATGTATTATTTCTTTCTGGCATTACCTACCCCAAATACAATACATACTAAAGTATGAAACCAAAGACGACATCTACAGCAATCGAAAATGTTGATTCTCTAACCGCAATTTTACTATTATTTGTGAATTGTTTTAATCCCAGTATATAAAAAATTACAAAAGTAATTTGTTTTTATTACAGTTTTTTTTTTACTACAAAATAAGTTAAGTAAATTATGTTTTTGTAATCATCTGAATCGATTGAAGAGTAAGACCTTTTAAATGAATTAGTATTCAATTTATGTGCAGGATGAAATTAATATAGAAACATATAAACTATATTTTGACTTTTTTAATGAAATTTTACGTAAAATTTGACACTAGCATACAAAATTAAATTTCATTTCGATTTTATTAAGGTAATTTTGAAAGTTTTTTTTAATAGTTTGCGAAATATTTGTGGATCCTCACAGTTTCGTTGTCATTTTTACATTAAAATATAGATATCGTATAATACAACTTTCAAAACAAAAATTACTTTTGACTAATGTAAAAATTATTGAATTATTATAAAAAATATTTACAAGAACATGAAAATAAATTTCTTGGCCAAGCAATCATAACTTTTGTGAATATACGCATATAACCATATTTCAGTTAACACAAAACATGAGAATGTAAATCAGTAACAAAATAATTAATAAAACAGAATTTTATTAGATAAACTGTAAAATGATTAGTGATGGGAGAATTCGAATGCAAGAATCGATATCCATTCGATTCTTAAAAGTTCTCGCTGTTCTCGAGAACTTTTATGCCGGCATTCGAATACTTGAGAATTCATGACGAGATTTCGAGTATCCCTCAGGGCAGGCAGATAGATGGACTAGACACTAGGCGGATGTGCTTTAGAGGCCAAAATTGAATGTTTTTTAAGATTTGTTGTATTGCCAAATAATTTAAACTTTTTACTTATTTATTACTTTTTTTAAAATAATATCCCAAACTAATGATTTGCAGCCAGGCTTCATTTTAATAATAAGAATTCAATAATTATAAAATAACTAAAAACATTAATATTTAATAACGGAAAATGCTGCGTGAAACAAACCACATCTCTCGTTCGTTGCGAGGTTTACCTTAATTACTAACTGCTAAGCTACCATCGATGCGAGTACGAATAAAAATATCCCAATGATGC